TATCACCTGGTGAACGTGGGTTCCACCTCAGACACACGTGCGATGTGCAAGTAAACCCCGTGATGGGCGCTCAACCAAACCTCATCCTGTTCCTTCCTTCTCCGTGGGGCGCAGAGCTCCCCGGAGCTGTTCCAGAAGGCTCTCTCCTGGGCAGGTAGAGAGCAGGTGCCCGGGACACTCGGGTTGGAGGGAAGCCCTGAGGTCATTTGCTGATAGTTTCCAGTTTATTAATGAAACCGTCTCCTACTTTCAGGAGAAAGGGAAGCTGCCTCTGTGCTCCTGTGAGGAAGTGCTTTTATATTCCTCCCAGCAAACAGTTCTTCACATTGTGCTGAGCTCAACACTCTCTCCCTCCCTCTAACTTACACATGTTGGTCCCAATCCACGTGGCTGGAGCCACAGAGACCAAGCCTTGATGGACGGTCTGCAGATATTTACAGATATTGTATTTCAGGGCCTGGCAGGGGTGTTCTGTAAAGGCACAGAGAGCAACGCTTTGGGTTTTGTGAGCCATGCATTCATTCTCTGTTAAGACTCAACTCTGGCCCGGCCCGTGTGGCTCAGGGGTCGTCGGTTTGATTCCTGCTCAAGGCACATGCCCGAATTGTGGGCTTGATCCCCAGTAGGGGGCGTGCAGGAGGCAGCAGATCAGTGATGTTCTCTCATCACTGATGTTTCTGTTTGTCTCTCCCTCTCCCTTCCTCTCTGAAATAAATAAAAACATATGGAAAAAAAAGACTCACCTCTGTCACTGCAGCTAGAAAAAGACAATAGGAAATAAAACTTTATTTACAAAAACGATGGTGGGCTGTGTTTGGCCCATGAGCCCACCTGGCCCAGCCCTGGCTTAGAGGAAATGGTAAAGACAGAAAAGTTTGGGAGAATGAGCAGAATCCAGACCAGCTCTTAGAACGAACAACACATTTCAGCAAGCTGGCCAGATGTTGAATCACAAGAATAACGGCGTTCCACACATCAGCACGAGCTAATCAGAGAGTGTGATTAAAAATAAGCTCCCATTTCCAACAGTGGCAAAGATGATAGAGAACCTAGGAATTACCCCCAAAGACTCAACATTTCTATGGAGAAACATTTGAAACTTTCTTTACAGGCCATGGGTAGGGTTGGCCTGCAGGAGGTGTTGGGAACCTGTACCCGCCGCCCGGAATTCCCTTCCTCTCTCTGAGGCTGGACAGCCCTTCACGGAAGGCCAGGCCGACTCCAGCCCAGGCCAGCTTCCCTCCTGGCCAGGCTGTCACTGCTGCACAATCTCACTGCAACTTAGCGGCTTCCAGCGGGAGAGACCAATGTATCTGCTTTAATCCTCCGCTCTCCCAGTGGGGCCCCGCCTGCCTCCATCAGCAATCGGGCTCCTCAGCCAGACTAGACTCTGAGAACACAGACTCCGCATCCCCAGGGACAGATATACAGCCGTACCCAGGGCACAGTTTTTGGTTAAACACACGATCAAAAGATGCAAATGAATGCGCCCTGTCATCTCTATGGTAGGCCGACACCTCGACCTCCCTCTTTCATTCCAAACCCTTCTGTCTGTAAATGTGTTTCTTGGAACTCGATTCCATAATCCCAATAAAAAATGCAACCTCAGAGCCTTCATTAATCGGGGTTGCTCTGAGGCTGCCGGCTCCCAGGGGCTCAGGTCACGTGCTTTCATTCACACTGTCCCCACACAACGAGCGCTTGACAGGTGCTTCCTAACTGACCGGCGAAGAGACTGTCTACGACTCTGGGTCCCCATGGTCCCGAGATGGAGTTGACTGTGCTGGGGGCGCAGAGGGGGCGGCTGAGTTCCTGAGCTTGCCAAGCCTCCAAACTAGCCAAAGCCACCAAGGCGCTATTAAGTCAGATTAGCGGTGCCAGTCTAGCAAACTGCCTCACCTTTAATCATCGAGATGTTCTTCTTACTAAAACGGGGTTTACGCCCATAGATCCTCAACTGTGATGCTGTCAGAGAATTAAAAACAAGACAGACTTGTCTCTGGGTTTGGGGTAGTTCTGGGCCGACACCCCAGATTCCATGACTGTTTTCCTTCCTGACTTTTAGTCCTGCCCAGCTCTTCGGGCCCTGAGTGAGGCCACAGCCTGGTTGGCACGGTCAGGGATGTTCTCGGCCCTTTCTCTTACCTCCAGACAGGGGCTCATTAAGCGACCTATTCTGTGCTGCGTGACGGAGTCTGAACACCCTTTATGTACTCCAGCCTCCGAGGGGGAGATACGGTGCGAATTCCCTCGTGGAAATGAAGAATGAATAGGCATTAATGGCCGAAGCATGAGAGCCGTAGTCGACAGGTTCTGTGATGGAATATGCCAATAGGAAGCATGTGTCATCTGTGTGACGATATACTGGACGTGACGAGGCAGATCTGAGAGCCAAGGCGAAGGCAGGGCTGCTGCCCGGTGGAAGCGCAGGCTGATCCGGGTTCCCGTGTTGTTGGGGTTCAGGTCCTGCCTGGGCTGTGTCCCCTCGGCTGGGTCTCTGTGCATCCGAGCCCACCCTCCAGGGCATCCGTTACGTGATTCACCCCGACAAGCAGCACCGCTGGGCAAGCCCTGGGCGTCCGGGCCTCGTGGGCAGAGGCCGGAGCGGCTGTCTTTTCAGATAATTCTGCACATGATGCCACCGGGGCTTGTCTCATGGAAACGTCCCCTCACCCCTCGGTCGGGGAGAGCAGTGACAGCTTTTGACAGAATCGGTCCCCTGCCTACCTCGCCCTGGAAACTGGTAAGCTTCTATTTTTACTCATAGAGTTCTGCTCTGTCCTGGGCCACGTGGGCCACCCACCGTGGCAGGGGTGTGGGGCGGGGAGGGCCGACAGGGACACCACACCCACCGCCGAACCTCTGCTGCACAGACGGCCCTCTTGCCAAGTCAGAGCCACGCTGCTGGCTCCACAAATAGCGGCTGAAATAATATTCTTGATGTAGCCCTTCCACGCCCGTTAGGTAAAAGCATGTCCGTGGACGGCACTCCCAGAAGCCCCGTGCTGCTCCAAAACCCTGTGTGTCATCTGATTTCCCGCCCACCTCCTCCCACGTGGTGAGTCAGCGCTCCTGGCGGCTGGGCCTGCGAACCAGCTCCTGGCTCCCAGCTTCCCGCCTCCCACTTCCCGCTGCACCAGCTCCCACCCAGTGACCGCGACCAGTTCCGAGCTGGGCTCCCAGCGTCCACTCCCGCGTTTTACAAGTCTACTTCCCACAGAGCAAAAAAGGTCTTTTTAAAACACACCCACCACTCTCTGCATATAATCCCCTCCGGGCTCCACATGGCACCTGAATGAAAGCAGTATTCTCTCCCCGGCCTTATGGCCGGCCGATTCCCCTCTAACCTCAACTCAGACCCCCCTCCACCTGCTCAGTACGCTCCACCCAGGCTCATGTTCCAGAGCTCCTGGAAGGAGCCAAGGGCTCATTCGGGCCCCAGGGCCTTTGCACGTGATGTGGACTCAGCCTTCGGCTTCTCCCTCTGACCTTCTGGGCCCGACTTGCCATCTTTCAGGTCTCAGGCACGTCACCGCCTCAGAGGCTTTCCCTGGTAAAGGCACAGAGCCTCCGGGTGGCCGTACGGATTTGTTTGTTACTCCCCAAACACAGTCAGTTTTTGCTTTTGCTCCTGTCTGTCTGCTGTCACCATGTCGTCCAGGAAAATGCCCTAAGTGCCACGAGGCAGGGGCCTTCCTTCTCCTCCCTGGCACCGGGGTGGGCCTGTCACGTGGCAAGTGCTACATAAACACGGCAAGTGCACGAATGAACGAACGAATGACTGAAATCGACATTATTTGCTCTAACGTTTACCCTGCGGCGGCCAGTGCTGTCGAGATGCTCTGGCCTTTGGTCTGCAAATACCCTTGTGCTGGGGTTGCGGTTCACAGCTCCCCGTCCCCCCCGACCCACCTGCCCTGCCCATCCCCAGTAGAGTTCCTTCAGCACAGGGGGCAAGAGAACAAATGTGGAGACAAGCCCTGGCCAGTGTGCTCAGTGGTTAGAGCGCCGGCCGCACACAGCAGGGTCTCAGGTTCCATTCCCACCGGAGGGCATGCACCTTACTTGCAGGTTCGATCCCCACTCCCCTGTGGGGCACGTGCGGGAGGCAACTGCGTATCACTGTGGTGGGAGCTGTCATCAGTATCATAAATCTGGGCACTGTTTGGATCATTATCAACTTCTCCCAACACCAAAGACTCAATTACAAGGACATGATTAACGACCTCCTCCTTCCACCTCCCACTCTGCTGCCTGGGCTGGTGGTTTCAGTGGGAAAGAAGGAGCAACAGATCCCTTTGTTATTTATATTCACCGGAACCACTCTCTGCTCCTGCTGGGAGGGGCCATTAGCTTGCTAATTCCTTTCCAACTGGATTCCTGAAGTTTTCCTTACCCAAGCGGAGAACACTGGGCACCGAACATAGAAAGCATTTAACCTCCCTTCCGTGTAATTCAGACAATCACGTGGTGCGTGTCAGCGCCTCGGCTCTCCACACGCGACGTGCCCCGGAGAACCAGCCCCCAGCCCGGCACTCACCGTCGTTTCTCAGGGTCAGCGGGGTGGGCGGCCCCAGGACCTTGTGGTTGGTCACCGTGTTGGTGACCACGCAGGTGTAGTTCCCCACGTCGGACTTCTCCACCTTCGCGATGTACAGGTTCCCGGTCTCCTGGGAGACGAAGCGGCGGTTGTCCTGGTAGGAGGGGTATTCATTGAAGATCCAGGCGTAGCTCAGCTCTGGAAGCCAAAGGAAAGATCGTTACCAACAGGGCTTTGGCTCTGGGACCCACTGCGCTCCTGAGAGAAGTGGCGGCGCTAGACACACAGAGCGCTGCCCCGATTCTTTCTCAGCCGCTAATTATAAACGGAGGGCACGCGCAGTCCCCTTCCCAGCTCAGACCGAGGCTACTCTAGAGGCCTAGGGTACACGGATCGCCGGTGAAGGGAAGTGCAATGCCTTTAAGTCAAGGGAACACGCACTGAGGGTTTGCCAAGCATGCACCTGGTGCGTGCCCGAGGCTGTGTGGTTCCCATACATTCTAGAGTTTTCTATTGGCCGAGAAGCACTGGCAGAGAAACAAAGGAACCGCTCCCACCTCTCAGCCCTTCTGAGGCAGAGCCATTCTCGGGCCTCCGTCCACCTCCTCCTTCCGACTCCCCTGCGATTTGAACGCTCTCCCCATTATTGTGGTGAGACGGGGGTTTCCTAGGGCAGCAAACACTCGCTAAACACACCTGAACTGCCCGCTGGGTGGTGGTCCCATGAACGTCAATCTGTGTTTTTAAAAAGTAGCTGGAAAAATGTTACACCCACCGGGAGTGAGCGGAAAGTGACAGGTAAAGGGCAACCGCTGTGTGGAATGTACTCATCCCGATGCCGGGCGAGCGGACGGCAGCCACGCTGAAGCTGCTCCGGAACTTCCCGCCTTCCCGAGCTCAGGCGAGTGTTTGTGAATGAGCGTGAGACCCTCTGCGCCTTCCAATGAGGAGCCGGACGAATGAGAATGAGAATGATAGGCAGCGTGAACCCCTGTGCCCGAGGGCACCGGCTCCCTCAGCTCCGGGCACACCTGTCCCGGTCCTGCTCCCTGAAGTGTGAGCTCCGATGAGTCCAAAGAGCAGGAAGCGCACTCCAGCTTCCTATACAGAACACTCACCACTTTTTTTACAGTAATCAAAATAATATTTAAAAAGAATATATATATATTGATTCCAGAGAGGAAGGGAGATTGATCCCTTTTTTTTACCTTTTTTTGTTGTTATTGTTAAAATATTTTTTATTGATTTCAGAGAGGAAGGGAGAGCGAGAGAGATCCCTTTCTTTTCTTTTATCTTTTTTGTTGTTGTTAATATATTTTTATTGAATTCAGAGAGGAAGGGAGAGGAAGAGAAACATCCATGATGAGGGAGAATCATTGCTCGGCTGCCTCCTGCAGGCCCCACACTGGGGGTTGAGTCCGCCATCCGGGTGGCAGTTTTCCCACAAGAACTGGAGATGCTACCCAACAGCACAGCCCTCCGCACGCCATCTGGCGAGTTTCAGGCAAAGCCAGCCACCTCCGAGCATCAAGCACCGGGTCCCCTCCTGGGAGGGTTGAGGACAGGCCTCCCCCTGATCAGCTCCCATGGCTGGAGGGGCACAGGAGCACCTCCACAGTCAGTGCAGACGTTAGAGTCACCTCCCAGCCCAGCATTAGTCCGCCCGCCCCTCCCCCAGGAATCAAGTCCGAGAAACTGTATGTTTTTTCCTGAAGACATTTTCAAAACCGTTGCTAGTGGCTACTGTTTAGTAACTAGGAAGTTGTATGGACCACAAATATCAGAACAAAATACATCTGCTTGCTTATTTCTCTAATCTCAACTAAAAAAAAAAAAAAGACCAGAAGACCAAAATTCAGACCTGTGCTCCATAAGGAAAGCCCATGAAACACTAACTTCCAACAACTAAACCATCGGACGGGAACAATAGCCCAGGTGCTGGAGGCTTGTGGGGTCGACTGTGTGTGTAAGTGCTCCGAGCCATAAGCACACTGACCATTAAAAGTTAATCATTTTAAAAGTAAAAATAAAAAACATACAGCGAGTGTTTGCTGCCCTAGGAAACCCCCATCTCACCCTTTGCTGTCAAAGGGACTTGTCTTGCCCGGCCGGTGTGTGTCAATTAGCATGCTGTCTGGCCTGTTTAAAAATAAGTTAATCTTTGTGGTGTCACTGCTTCTGTGGATTACGTGACTCTAGTGAGAGATGAAAATAAACCTGAGCTCATACTGCAGCGTTTTCTAAAGTGAGGCTCCCCCCGCCTCCCCCCAAAAACAACCCACAAAACTGTGGTCCCTGGGCTAATTATTTACTGTTAATAAGTTCTCTATGCACAGCCCACACCTGCCAAATGTAAAAGAATTACAGAATCAAATGACCTTGAAAAGCACTGGGTTAAGCAAAGTTTAACAGACTAGCAATTTCTCCTTTCCCATCTTGTAAGAGATCTTTAACACGCCAGTGACCTTGAAATTCCTCGGAGGCTGCTTAAGCAAGCGAACTTATAGATCATAGAATCCTCCTGCCCAACCCTTTCAACATACACCGTTTCCTCAAACGTTTATTACAGGTCACACAGCCGAGTGTGGGGATCCTGAATTAATAATGTGACAACTTCCAGAAACAGTGAGTATCATAGAAGGATTACTAACTATATTACTTTGGTTTGGGGAAGATCATTAAGTATCATTAAACACCAGCAAACAACCAAATACTCAATGGACGCAACGCGTTCCTCAAACTGCAGTCATGACCTGGCACAGTGACCACTGTGCTGGCGATGAAGGGCACACGGAAGCTGCCGAGACGTCACCAGCGGACTGGGCTGAGGACGGACACCGACGGCAGTTGGACACGCGACCTTTGTCAATGCTGGGAGCCCTTGAGTGCCAAGGTCAGCCAGAACCTCTTGGCTGGAGCGCCGGGGAGGTCATGTGGCGCTGAATGCCCTGAGCCAATCCTGCTAGGGCGAGCCCAAGCGTCACTGCAGCGGGTCGCCCCCCAGGCTGTCAGCGTCCTGACCACAGCCCAGGACGCACGGCAAACAGGAGCTCGGCGCCGCCCCAGCAGGAGCGCCCCCCCCTCACTCGAGCCCCCCGGGGCTCCGGCGGTGCTGCTGCTCACCCACACGCCACAGGTTTCTTCCGATTCGTCTGCCCACACGAATTGCTCTGAAGCGACAGACCGTTTTCGTCCCACCAGCAATTTGTAACAACGGTGCACACACGCACCTGGATGCAATATTTAAGACACCGAGAGGCTCCTGGGGCTCGGCCGGGACACGCGGGGCTGTCTGTGTGGTGACACCTGTGAAGGTGGGAGGGTCCGGCCGGTGTTCTGACTCGCAGCAGCCACTTCAGAGGAAATGAACCGGAACACACGCTCTGTTCGTTCCTGGTTCTGTAGCTCTGGGCCCCAGGGGCGGATGCGGGGTTATTGCTTATTGCAGAAGGCATGAATCAAGCGTTTTTCAAACGAGGTCTCGCTGAGCACATTCACCCGCTCACGTCCTCCGATGGACGCTCCTCGCTTGTTCTCAACTCATTTCTTTCTGGAGTTGACTTTCGCTTCATGAAGCTCTGAGGTTCGTCCCCGGGGGAGCAAAGATGGCTTTCGGAGATGCCTTTCTTAACCCTTCAAGTTCTAAATGTACAGGAACCTCAGTTGTACAGGTGAGGACACAGGAGTCGGAGAAGGGCCACGGCCGGGTCAGTCCCACCTGGGGAACAGGCAGCGATGGGTCACCGCAGGCTCCCCCACAGACACGCTGGGTCACCAGGAAGCCAGGGGGTCCTCGCAGAGTTCAATCTGAGCTATGAGTGTCAGGCCTCATCTGTACACCGAGGGGGTCAAGAAAGGGAGCTCTAATCCCTCCCAGCATTAAGATTCTGATTCTAGATTACACCACTGAGTCCGACTTCCGGTTTTCACAGAGGAGAAATATGGGGTCCAAAGAGACCCACTGACATGCTAATCATCACCAGGTAGTGATTGGCCGGGTCAAGGACTGGCACTTTTATACACACACATGCACACACACACAAGTTACACTTACTTGAGTCAAGCTGTGTTAGTGGGAAAAAGATCATATTAATAGTAAGGAGACTGGGATTCTAGTCCTGAATTGCAACCCACTTTTGCACTGATGGACCATTTTAAGGGCGTGAGAGTGGCCGTGCCTTCAGGTAGATGGGTGTAAGCAGGTAGATGTGGGAGGATGTGCTCGGGTGACCCGCCAGTGGAATGGGGCTGTGAACGCATTCATTGTTTATCTGTTGCCCAGGATCAGCGCATGCTCTTTATCACTCAACGTGGCGGTGGCGGTGGGGGAAGAAGGTGGGAAAGGGGACACTTCCTAGGAGGTACCAGCCCTCAGTCACTGCTTTTGGGTCCGGCTTCCAAGCCCCCCTTTATGGCTCGCCTCTTGTTTTCTTGCTTCTAGTTTATTGGGTAAATTGGAGGGGTATAGATTTTCTTTAAACCTGTGTAGATGGAAGTCAAGAAATTTAACTTGAAGGCAATTTAACATTGTTTTTTAAAAAAATATATATATATTTATTGATTTCAGAGAGAGAGGGAGAGAAACATCAGTGCTGAGAGAGAATCATGGATCGTGCCCCATCCCACATTCTCTCCAAGGAGTCGGGTCCTGGGGCTGGGGAAGGGTTTCTCCGAGCAGCATGCAGCTCCTGCTGTTGACTGAATTCCACAAGTGCTTTTGCTCCTGTGCCTGTGGCACCGCTCTCCCCGCTTCATGGGTCACTTCTGGTTTCCTTGCTTCTGTTTTATTGGGGAAGCCGGGGGGGGGCGGGGGGAAGCCTTTCCGTTTGCCTGTCACTGGCCCGAGAACGCCCTGCATGCTGCCAGCTCCAGGTTCCCTGCCGCTCCGGCCAACCCACGGCCACCCCCAGTCAGGACTCCTAAGGGCAGCACTGACTCACCCTCCTTCCCACACAGCCCTCCTGGAGCCCCACTGCCTCCCACACGAAGTGAAATGCATCTAGCTAGCAGTCAAGTCCTTCCAAATGAGCTGGCCTCAGCGTCCCCCTGCTCCCCCTGGAACTCCCCCTGGGCAGTGCTCCGCACGCCAGGCCTGCAGAACTCCGGGGATCGGCACTCCTGATGGATTTATTCACACAACACATGCTTACTCCCCCAGGAGGCACCTTGAGATACAAAGAGAAGGCACCCTGGGCGGG